AGAGAGAGAGAGAGAGAGAGAGAGAGAGAGAGAGAGAGAGAGAGAGAGAGATCCTCCCACATTGGTAACTCAATAGTATTCTATATACTCTGCCCTTGCATACATTCAGGTATAGGAAATCATGTGCCATATTTACTTAAGAAGCTTCCCTACCCCTTTGTAGGTATTAAAAGAACAGGGTAGCAAGGGAAAATCAGAAGTTGTCCCTGATTTATCTGTGGCTGAAGAAGGAACTAGGGAGGTGCAGTGAGCAGCATTATTTCTTCCTCCAGGTGAACTAATGAAGGCTTAGAAGAAACAGCTGCATCACGGCCAGGGTGGCCTAACCTTGTCCTTTCACTTTCATTATATGCTTATCTGGCCTTCAAGGAGCTGTTGTTGCTGTATCAATGGTTGACAGTCATCGCTGCAACCAAGGAAAATGTATGTGACAAAAAAACTACATTTCATTAAACTTTGGATTGAGGAAGTATATGTATAGGATATAATTATTATTTTTTAGAAATTAAGGAAAATCATCCACTCATTCAGCCTTCAAATATTTATTGACAGCTACTGTTGTAACAAACACCATTCTGGGCACTGAGGATACAACAGCAACTAAAACAAAAATCCTTGCCTTTTGCAATTTCTATTCTAGTGGAAGATGTAGACAGTAAAAAAGATAAATTAGTAAGATATACAGTATGTTAGGAAGTAGTTAGTGCTAAGGGGAAAAATAAGGTAGAAAAGGGGACTGTAAAATATCAAGAGGTATATTAGATGGTGATCCAGGGAAAGTCTCATTGATAAGGTGCTTTTTTTTTTTTGATAAGGTGCTTTTGAAGTAAAGACCTGATGGAAGTGACAAGCCAGCCTTGAGGAGGTCTGAGGGACAGCTTTCAAGACAAGGGGTCCTGAGATGAGAGGGTGCCTGGTGTGTCTGAGGAGCAGCCTGGAGGTCAGCGTGTGAGCTGAGCATGGAGGGAAAGCAGTCTGAGATCCGGTCAGAAAGAAAACAGGCCAGTTGTATGGGGCCTTGGAGGACATGATAAGGATGTCGGCTTTCACTGGTAGTAAGAGGAAAAGCTCCAGGGAGTTTGGGCAGAGGAAAGATATTATACAACCATTTTTATTGAGTGCTTGCTCTGTTAGATTCTATTTTAAATGCTTTATTTGTAATCCTCACAATTACCTTATGAGGTAGGACCCACTATCTTCTCCATTTTACAGCCGAGGAAACAGAGGCCCAGAGAGGTTAAGTAATAACTTGCATGAGGTCACACAGCTGACAGGGACATGGTGAAAATTTAGACCCTGGCCAACTCTTAACCACCTTGTTGTCCTGACCCCAAATGCTTAAGAGACTGAGGGTTTTTTTTTTCTTTCTTGATATCTGTATTTCCAGAGCACACTTACAATGAAATCACTTCATACTCATTCATAAATACAGAACTTCTTTGCTTAAACTGATAAATATTCCAAGTATTCTGCTTTATGATTTCAAGTTTTTTTGTTTTTTTTTTTTAAAAAGCCCTCAGGGACTTTCCTGGTGGTACAGTGGTTAAGAATCCACCTGTCAATGCAAGGGACATGGGTTCGATCCCTTTTCCAGGAAGATCTCACATGCCGCGGAGCAACTAAGCCTGTGCACCACAACTACTGAGCCCATGTGCTGCAACTACTGAAGCCCACATGCCTAGAGCCATTGCTCTGCAACGAGAAGCCACTGCAGTGAGAAGCCCACGCACTGCAACGAAGAGTAGCCCCTGCTCGCCACAACTAAAGAAAAGCCCTCGAGCAGCTGTGAAGACCCAGGCAGCCAAAAAAAAAAAAGCCCTCAGATTAGCATATTAACAAGCATCTTGACATGTCTCGCTTTAATTATGCAGACAGCAATTTCTTTTTTGCTTCTAATGTAGAGGTTGATTGGGAAATTTTTTATTTTATTGCTTACAATCTTACCCTAGCTACCTAAATCACTACCATAAGATTTGACATCTATAATTTATCATTTTCCTCTGCTATTAGATAAAATGCCCTTTAAAACATTCCACAGCAAGGTGAACACAAGTCAAGCTTGCAAAGTTCTAGAAAAAAGAATTGCAAAGAATCATTAAAGAATAATGAACGTTGAGTTATGTAGCATATGATATCAGGGCTGCCCAGTTTAACAAATATAATTATTCCAAGTCATTTTCAGAAGGCCTCTAAATTTCAGCACCTAATTTTCATCATCTTTCAAGGAATAACAACAAAAATACCTTACATTTATAAAGACTCTAAAAGCGAACTCTTTAATTCATTTCTCTGGATTTCACTAAAGCGAAGCATGAAACAATAGACAACTTAAAATACAGGAAACCCAGATTCCTTTTACTATTGCGTGGCTTTAACATTTTACTGCTATAGCCAAGAGTCCTTGGTTTCTGCGGCCAACAGCCTTTTGCATGCTGATTTTGCAGAGAGAGTCTCTCAGGAGTTATTACTTTTGAGTACTATCTACGATGACTCCAGTCTCTGCAGGAAGTGGGAGGTAGCAGAGTTTGGGAATGAAAACACTGAGGGAAAAATCTTTCCAGATAGAATTGTCAACTCAATCTAATTTTAGGTTTCGGGCAGAACACATAGCTGTACCTTCAGCTACCTGCAAACATTTGCCTCTCAGGTGCCCATCATTGAAGGACTACAACCAGGACAAACAAAAATAATGAAGTTTTCTATCATAATATTTTTTAGTAAAATAGGTGATGTGTCAGAGTATGTGTGTGTATGCTTGCACACGGGCAAACCATGTGTGTGTACCCCTACGTTCAAGGTTTCATAGCGTTCAGAGTAAAGGAGATGGTCCAAAAGGGTTTCTTTCTATTTTTCATAAACTCTATTTAATTTTTCCTTCCAGTCCCTCACAACCAAAAGGACTAATAGTCCCAGGCGCAAGACCTCAGAAACATATTACTGAGTTATGTGAAACAGGAATAGGAGACATTTTTAGTAATACTTTCTATGTGGTAGCTATTTTGGTATTGAAACAACTAAATCAAATCTAACAAAGGTCTTTTGAGAGGAAATGGTTAAAAGGGCATGTCTTTCCTTTTCTAAAAGGAAAACCACAGCAAAGTATTCCGATCAGGAATAAATTAAAGAGCACTGCACTTTTCTGCAAGGGTCAGGAAGTCAAGCTCTTGGCCTTGGGCTGCTTCTCAGCCCCACCCCAGCTGACCCTGGGAACAAGGCACTCCCCATCTCTGTGTGAACTCAACAGTTGCTGTCAAGTCCTGCCATTCCTCTGCAGAAAAGAGCCAGGGATTTTCTGGCTCTTGCCAGAAATCAGAGTCAGAAGGAGGTAGCTAAGGTGCCGGGGGCTTTCTATAGTGTCCCAGTGCCAGCTTTCTGTCGCCAAAGGAAAATTCCCTAAACTCACTAAAGCCAAATCTCACATTTTGAAAAGTCTCCAAAAGAAGTTTCATAAGCTGTTTTGCTGCTAGAAGATTAAGCTCTCATTTCCCAGATTACATTTTTTAAATGTAATTTCCTTAAATTCAGCAGCACTTTTAATCCATGACACTCACTGGTAGACAAGAAAAACAACTCTGCTGTCTTCACAATCGATTTAAAGCTTACAGATGTGACATCTCAGTACTTCATGTTGTGGTTAATTGCCTTATACTAACATCTGATGAAAAAAAATATATATATATATTTAATGTTCTTATATAACCTGTGCAGCTGACATGTGATTAGTTGGGAAATAGGGGCTGTGAGGTGTCCCAAACAGCTGAACTTGATCAAGATGTCATGCACTCTTGACCTCTTTAAGAGACTATTTTGCTCTTTTGACAGCATTCAAAATCTACTTGTCCTTCAAGGTCTAGCTCAGTTCCTGCCTCCAGCCCAAATCTGTGCCTGACCATTTAAGTTCTCACTGAGATCTTCCCCCTGGCACCACCTTAAGGCCCTATTGCCTGTGCTATTATGGCATTTGGATATGTCAGCGTACACCATATTCTATTCACTGACTTTCAAGGGCCGTGTGCTTTCTCTTTGGCTCCCCATAGTGCCTAGTCTGGTGCTGAGCACATGTGGATGCTCCGTGGTAGAAGTGAATCAAATTGACTTACCTCCTTTTTCATCATTTTCCCTATGATCATATCTAGGGCTAAAATTTGCATTATTGCTTTTTATTTCTCCAGTCATTGTTCCTTAGTGACCCAGGAGCATCTAGAATGAGCTGCAAGTTAGATCACTCCTGGAATAGGTTGGTCACCTGTGGTTTTTGGCTTGGATGTCACTGTCTGTACCACCCATGGAAATGGGAGACAAGTTACATCCCTTATGACTGTAGTCATTAGGGAATTACCAATGAATATAAAGAGAAAAAATAAGCTAATGGAACAGAGAAAGAAAATAAAGAAAAGGATGAGGGGAAAAGAGAATGAAAGAGGCAAAAAAAAAAAAAAAAGCTCCCACAATCCTACTTTCTGATGTACATACGTTTCCTTTTTAAATGACAAAACATAAAGACTCCTCGCAGGTATATTTAATGGATGGTTACTTGCATATCTTAATAATGTTTGCTCTCTGGGGAATCATATACAGAAACAACTGCCTTTCCAGTTTGAATTAGGAATAAAGTGGAAAGGCAGTTACTTTGGGAGGAAGTAAAAGCAAAGCCTAGTAACACTGGTGCATTGTATGAGGCAGTGAGAAATGACAGTTCACAATGAGGCAGACTTCTCTCTTCAGTGATCAGCCTGCTCGGCCCTCAATGAGTCCGTGAGATTCCGCATTTTATAGGTTGAGCCTCCCACTGGCAGCAACTGAAGCAGTTTATTATGCACATCTGTCACGTGATCCACTTCATCAACCAAATGGAACTGGGAGAATAAGCCACCCTAACAAGATCCTCAGTACACTCTTAAAAACTACTTACAGATGTACTCTTCCTCCTAGGGGATACAATGCGTTTCCTTGTACGGTGCCACATGATACAGGAAATGCATTATCCCCATCCAAATTCAGGCATACCAGGAGGAAGCCCATGAAAAGAAAGCGGCTCAGAAAAGCACACATGGCTTTTGCAAAAGTCCTGAGAGGGGCTCCTACACCAATTTGTGATAACGGCAGATAAAATCCCAGGCCTCTGAAGCTCAGTTCATTACAAATGCTAATGTCCACACAGGGGAAAGGAAACCACATCAGCAGTCAGCATCGACACAAATGTCGCCAATGCTTTTTATTTACGGTTGTCACTGAGTCCCCTCAGCAGTATGCCACATCTCCATTTGTGTTGTAACTTTAACTACGTTATGTGCTTTCACAGCTCGCTAGGTTATGTACCCATAGGTGATTTGTGCTTTCAGACTGTGTCTGGTGAGATGAGCGGCTGCACTTCTAATCTTGAATCTGGAACCATTTTGTTCCCATTCAGATAAGATCGAAGGAATGCTTTTGTAGATGCATCCAGGAACAGTAACACCTGCCATTGTTAAATCTTCCTGTTTCAGCTGGGGTGATCAATTTATCATTCAGTCAGTCAGCCAACAGCTATTTATTGAACACCTGCCACGTGCCAGACACTGTTCCAGGCATTGGAGATATAACAGTGAATAGAGTCCTACCATCAAAAAGATTACATTCTAGACAGGGGGAGGGGGAGACAGCAAACAAGTATGGAATATGGCAGAGTGTGTCAGTCAGGATAGGCTAGTTACTTTGTGGTAATAACAGCCCAATCTCAGTGGATTAAAACAACCAGGTTTATCTCTGACTTACACTGGGTGTTCATTGCAGGTCAGCTGGGGGCTCAGCTCTGTGCAGCTTCACTCTGGGACCCAGGCTGCCCGGAGAATCCCCATCTGGAGCATGGCCAGTCTCTGTGGGAGAGGGAGAAGATAGAGTGGTGAACTGCGCACTGGCTTATGCCCGAAAGGGACACACGACCCTTCTCCTCACGGGGCACTGGACAAAGTCAGTCAGGTGGCTGCACCCAACTTCAAAAGGTGAGGAAGTGCAATCATATCATATGTTTAGGAAAATCAGACATACTTGGTGGGCAGAACTGTCCCAATGATGATGATTGCTATGAAGAAAAAAAGCAAGGTAAAGGAGATGGTGTCTGGGGAGCTGGTTTCCACTTACAGAGATGGTCAGGAAAGGTCTCTCTGATATGGTGACATTTGAGGAGAGATCCCAAGGAAGAGAGAGAGGGCTGTTTGGATGGGGTGGGGACAGCATCCTGCAGAGGATACAGCAAGGGCATAGTTTGCCTGGCATGTTTGAGGAACAGCAAGGAAGTCAAGATGGCTAGAGGGGAGCGAGCAAGGGGAGAGCTGTAGAAAAGTAGGTCAGAGACATAAGAGAGAGTTGTGGGACCCAAGTGGGCACCTTATTATAAGGGCTATGGCCATTGCAGATGTTTGGGTGAAGACATGATCTGAGTTAGGTTTTAAAAGAATCCTGTAGCTGCTGTGAGGAAAATATACCAGGGGGCCAAGGGCTGAAGCAGGCAATAGTTGAGAGGCTCTTGCAATAATCCAAGTAAGATAAGAGAGTGGGTAGTAGTCAGACTCTGGAGAGAGTTTGAAGGTAGAACAAACAGAATTTGCCCATGTATTGCTGTAAGAGAAAGAAAGGATTCAAGGATGACCAGAAAGGTTTGTTTCTTCTAGTAATTCCTGGGTACACATAAGGACTACTTCATGTGACTTTTGAGAATCTTCAAATTTGGCAAAATCACATAGCACATAACCTCCCTCCAAAATGAGTTGAGAGTTGAAGAGCCAAGTGGAGAGATGGATGCTGGGTGGTCAGCTTGATTCATGGACCATCTAAGGGACATCTCTCCCACACTGGCCTAATATCCAGTCTCTCTTAGGGTTTTGATCCATGTTACTTTATAAAACCAGAAAAATGAGCTTCATAATTACAAGCAAAACAGGAGCTTCTGACTGAGTCATCCCAACCTCATCCCACTTCTCTGTGAACCTCAGGTACCACTACCAAGAAACTTAGCTATACAACACAAGATCTGTCCTCAGTATACGCTGGTATAGTGGTGTGTCACCAATTCTCCTAAAAGTAGGTTGAATAGAAATCTTAATAAATACAATAAAATAACATTATGGTGTTCTTCTGAATAGTTTCCCCTCTTTCTGCTCACCCTGTCTTCCCATCACATGGTTCTCCCCATTCACCACCACCCATTAAATGGCCACTAGAGCGTCCTACTACACCTGGGCCTTCTCTTATGTCTTCTCCAGCTTAGGAAAGTGCAGGTTGAATGCACAGTTTGCCAACTACCGTAATGGAATGAATAAATAAAGGTCATTGCTGTTTTTTGTTTTTTTGTTTTTTTTTCCTTGGCCGCACTGCACAGCTTGCGGGAATCTCAGTTCCCCGATCAGGGATTGGACCCGGCCCACTGCACTGAAAGCCCAGAATCCTAACCACCAGGCCACTGGGGAACTCCTTATTGCTGTTTTTAAAAACTGTATATTTTTGGTATTTGTAATCAAAAGCATTCGTTCATTCAAAACATCTTCTTGAACTCCTACCATGTGCCACTTCCTCTTCTAAGCACTGCAGACACAGCCATGAATAGAATGTGGAAGTAATACATATTGTTGAAAACTGGGAGAGCATAGAAAAGTATTAAGAAAAGATAAACTTTCCACTAACTCACCACTGAAACATAACTGCTAGTAACATGTTGGTGCCCTGTCTTTTTCCAAGCATACATATTGTTCCTCCTTGCTCTTTCGAATAAAATTTACAACTCTGGACTTATACAGTACATTTTTTTCTTTAAAAATTATTTCTTCTTATAAAAATAAATCATAGCAGATGCTCAGTAAGTATTTGTTGAATGAATAAATTAATTATAGAAACAGTAAATTACAGAGAAGCAAAAAATTAAAAATGAAAGTCATCAATAATATCACTACTAAGAGATAGTATCACTAGTAATAGTTTGGGTTGTTCAGTATGGTTTTGAATAATCAACATATTTTTACAACATCGCTCCACAATGATTATTTTGTAAATGACAACTTTCTCTTTTTTCCTAATTACAAAAGTAACATGCCATTGTAGATATTTTGGAAAATATTGAAAACTACAAAAGGAAAAACCAAAAGTTATTTGTAGTCCCACTGCCCTGAGACTACTGCTATTAATATTCTCCAATTGGGCTTCCCTGGTGGCGCAGTGGTTGAGAGTCCGCCTGACGATGCAGGGGACACGGGTTCGTGCCCCGGTCCGGGAGGATCCCACATGCCGCGGAGTGGCTGGGCCCGTGAGCCATGGTCGCTGAGCCTGCGCGTCCGGAGCCTGTGCTCCGCAACGGGAGAGGCCCGCATACCGCAAAAAAAAAAAAACAAAAAAACTCTCCAATCTTTTTGGAAATTTTTTTCCAATCTTTTTTTTCTTGAGCAGTACAGTAGGTTTGTTAAGAGCCTGGGCAAGTTACTCAGCCTCTCTGAGCCTCAGATTCTTCATCTGTAAAATGATACTAGTAGTACCCACTTTGTAAGATTGGTGTGAAATTTAAATAAGATAAGATACACAAACTGTTTAGTTTAACATCTGACTGACCCATTATATGTGCTTCATATGAGAACTCTTACCACTTTGCAAGACATTTCTATATAGTTGGTCAGACTTTATACATGAATTTTTTGTCTTCTTTTTTTAAAGAAAGAAACAACATTCCTCAATCTCATTAAATTTAAAATTCTGAGACGATCTCAAATTTTCAGAAAAATTGCAAGCAAAGTACAAAGATCTTTTCTCCCTTGAAATATTTGAAAGGAAGTTGTCAATCCAATTCCTCCATTACCCCTGAATATCATAGCTCACATTCTACAACTCAAACAGAGACATAGCTCAAACAGAGACCTTCCCCTACAACTCCAGTGCAAACAGCAAAATTGAGAAATTAACATTGGTACACTGGGGTCTAATCCTCAGACTCCAGTCAAATTTCTCCATACATACCTTATAACAAAGGATTCCAGTTCCAAACCACACCATGTAATTATTCCCCATGTCTCTCCAGTCTCCTTCAATCTGAAATAGTTCCTCCACCTTTCCTAGACTTTAATATCCTTGACACTTTGAAAGAATATGGGCCAGTCATTTTGTAGAATGTCCCTCATATGATGTTTTCTCATGATTAAGTTATGCATATGTCTTTGTCAGGAATACCACAGAAGTGATGCTGTGTTCTTATTGTATCTTATTAGGTAACATACCTGTTTTGGCTATAACAACCTGTGCTGGACCACCTTCCTACACAGATACGCCTCTCACCCCACCTGGGCTCTGAAATATCCTCTTCACCCTGCCTCGACGCCAACATCTCGCACTAGGCTATGCCTTTGCAAGAACACTCCCCTCACCCCACGTAGGCTCTGAAACCTCCTGCCGGGCTGCCCCTCCCACCCTCAATCCTCAGCCCACCTGGGCCACCCTGCGCTGAGCCATCCTCTCAGCCTGCTTTGGCTCTGACACTGAGCTAAGCTGACCCTCTGCAGGGGTGGCTCTCTTGAGCTGCCTGGGCACTGGCACCAGCTATCCCACTCGTGGGATGCCCTCCTCACTCCACTTTTGCGGTGTTCTAATTCTTTAAAGATTTCTATTATCTGTGTATATAGTATCAGTTTTTCCTCAAACTAGAGGTCTGTGTATGTATTATTGATGATCCATCAGTAATAATGTGTTTTCATTTCAATGATGATCTAAAAAAAACTTACATTATAAAATATAAGCATATCTGGGATGTTCGTTTTATAACCACATACTTTTAGTGTTGGTGCTTTGTGTTTAAAATTGGGCTGGTACCGCGTGATTGTTAATGTGTCAATATTTAACTTTTAAATTGGTGGTAGTTTTAGATTGGCATTCCTGGCATCAAAATACAAAAACCATCTTGATTTCTGTTCAGTAAAAATTATATTGCGTGTTCTTACCAACTATAAATCTAAAACTGCTCAGTGATGAGATTTATGTCTTTATTTAATAAATTAATTTTGACTTTCCGTCATAAAAATAACCATGCTACTTTAATTGTCACAGGCTGATGAAAAAAGAACTGAGCTGGCTGACTTGATACACAAATGAGGTACTCATGCAAAGTGAAGGCCAAATGAATCATGGCACTGGTATAAGTGAAGCTTTACAATAGTTCAAATAGAGGAGAGTAGAGAGAAAACTGAGTCATTACAGGTCTCTTGGTATCATAGGTTGAACTCAAAAGAAGCTAGGCAAAGCAGTCACTTTTTTCAGATTATTGACAGATGTGTTTGTGTGTGTGTGTTTATATGGCATATCAGCTTGCAAATATTCTCCATGAAGGACTTTTGTTAGGAGCTTTTTAAAAAAATAATTATCAATATTATATTCTGGAGAAAACCATTTTTAGATGAGTTGGACCAATTAAAATAATCAACTGATGGTTTCAAATGAGTAACCTGATGGAAGGAAAAATTATGGTAATGATAACGATTGCGAATCAAATGACTGTCCATCATGCTCATAATCAAATATTTAGGTCAACAATTGAGACATAAAATGCATAAAAGCATCTTATTATGCTTTTATAATTACAATGTATACATTGTAATTAAATCCAACATTGGCTACTTAGTTTCAGCAAAACTTTACCACTTTTACACTAAATTAATGTTTCTTATTTGAATTTATCTGGTGATCTTGTTTTTATCTAGCTTGTTAAATTTGATTTCTTCTTATGGTTTGTTTTAATTGTGGTAAAGAAAACATATAACCTAAAACTTACCGTCTTAACCATTTTTAAGTGTACAGCTTGGTAGTATTGAGTATATTCACACTGTGTGCAACAGACGTCTAGAACTTTTTCATTTTGTGTACTTATAGTTTTTAATGAGCTATAAGTATAAAGCATTTATACCTAATTATACATTGGCACGTATTTCAGGAGCAAGATGATGAAAATTATTTAAGTCAACATAAAAGGTGGTCTCAAGAGAACTTTTTCCTTTTGGGAAAAAAGGAAGAGGTTTAAGAAACACTAATCAATATGGTAATTAACTTCCAATCTAAATGTTTGCTTAGGCCCACCCCCACTTTTCTCCCTAGCTGGACGGTTCACAGTGGACTGGGAGGAAAAGGCAGTGATACCTCATTTCTTGGAAAATGCAGAGCCAGGGGAGAGCATAGCAGTTTTCCCAACCTGAATTCAAAACTTGCTTTTAAGTAATAGGTATAATATGAACACAAAACTGCCTTTCAAATTACTTTTCAAAATAGTTTCAAATCCATTATCCTAATTTTGAGGCCCCGTTGTGAATCTCTAAAGTTAGTTTCCTTTAAAGTCAAACCTCATTGCCAAGTTTGATATGTTATAACTCTAATCGTCCAAGCCAGTGCTGCTGGAGTTTTGCTCCTTAGCAAGATGCTAGAGGGAAGAAGGCTGTCTCCAGATGCTGTGATTGTTCCGAGTCTGCTATGGCCTCTTGCAGGCCTTATTAAGAAAACAAACTGTGCTGATTAGTTTCTCTGAAAAACTAGACGGAAGTTTTCAGCTTAAAAGCTCATATGCTGACCTCTCCTAAGGCTTCATTTTTAAAATGAAAGTTTGTTGTTAGGATTTGCTATTTGACTTTTTAGAAATAAGAAAATATCCAAAGTTCCCATAAGTAATCATTAATTATGAGGTGGAAAGCAAGAAGGAAAGGGCAAGAAAGGAAGGAAAATTTATCATTTACTCTGTGCCAGGCACTATTCTAGAAGCTTTATATCACCCGTCTTACCTTGTCCCGACAACCTCCCTAGGAGTTAGTTCTGTTGTCCCCATTTCAATGGCTGAGACTCTGAGAGGTAAAGTAACTTGCCAAAGATCACGCAGCTTGTAAGCGAACAGGTTTGATTCAAACTCAGGGTTGTCTGATTACCACTCACTCAAGTACGAAACACGTCAAGACACATCACAGATCAGCTTGGTCAGTTTTCTGCCACAGATTTTGTCTGGGGAAACTGGACCATGCCGATACTCATTCATGGAGAAAGTCTCTCTGCCCATTCCAGCACATTATCATTCTCTGCTCTCTCGCTCAGTTACTTGTATATGTAGCTGACAGACTCAACTTCGAACACTCCCCGGACCCTACCCAACAGAGTGCAGAAATCCCTTTGCTCTCTCGCAGCTGATCCCAGCACCGGCTGGGTTTCTGCTCCCCCAGATGTGGAGGCTGCAGTGTAAAAAGCACTTCCTCACCTTGCAGCTACAGTATTGTCTGGCGCTTCTTGAGGCACAGGTCTAAGCTGCTGTCTAGAGAGGCCTGATGTATGCCCTGTGGGCTGCACTGTCATTTACTGGTTTAATATGCACACTCTGTGATGCATTTTTATACTTTCCCATTTCTTAAATTCTGTCTCCTAACTCAGATCTCATTTACATGGTGATTTATAGGGCCTGAATATTATAATCTAAAAGGTGTATGTGGAGAGGAGGAGTGAGCACATCTTCTATTTATTAGGAAAAGTCTCCAATCATCTGCTTCTTTGAAAATCTGACCTTGAAACTGCATAATGAGAGCTCAGTCCCCAGTCATAGTGAGGAGCAGGGAAAAGGGACCAGCTGGTCCGTTTGCTTAGCGTCTACTGCACGCTGCCTTGGGTAATCTCTTTTCACATGACGGCCTCTCTCCCCAGTTAGATCTTAAATAATTGGAGGGCAAGAGCATGTATCACTGACCTTTGTGCCAAGCATAAGCCCCTTGCACATAGTAGGCATTTAGTAAATAACTGGATGTTGGTTGCTGATCTGTGACTGACTGCTGCTTAAACCTCCCCATTCCCCACCATACCCCTGACCTTTCTGGTTTAGCTTTTACGTGACAGTTTCATTAGAAATGGTAGCAGGATGGAACCAGAACTTTCATGCACACACTGGGATATCAGAGACTTCTGCTTCACGTGTCTTTTCAAAGAATAAGTATAGGCTAGTATCCAAAGACCTAGTTTAGAATCTTGAATTTTAAAAACTTGACTGTGGGAAAGCCCTGCCCACTCACTTTGGAATGCCCCCGCCCCCTCTTAAGCATACTACACAGCATGGTTTAGTGCCTGGACTTGGTGATACCACTTTGCCTGGGAGGCCTAGTGCATGAAACCCTTTCCACACTGACACCACAGCTTAAATTCATTCTTCAGGTAGCCATT